GGGACTGAGGGGTATTATGTTTAGTACACATGGTGTGGGGGATCAGGGGGAGAACAGTGTATCACAGAGAAAGGACATGGTGGATCTCTGGCAACCTGCTGCACTGATGGACAATGACTGCATTGGGGTATGGGTGGGGACTTGATAATATGGGTAAATGTAGTAACCACATTGTTTTCTTCCATGTGAAACCTTCATAAGAGTGTATATTAATCGTACCTTAATAAAAAATTTAAAAAAAACCAGTACATACTATGTATACAAAACACAGGCTGTAAACAAACTAAAAAGTTAACAAAGACTAATCTGGGTCGAACGATAGTTCTTTTTTTCTTTTGCTTATATGCTTTTTCTGCAATAAACATGTATTATTTATAATAAATATATAAAATAAAAAATATATGTTTTATACAACTGTTTAAAATAGATCTTAATCTCAGGTAAAATGTAGAAAAATGTGTTGCATTTCAAGTTGAAAACACATTAATTACTTTGTTCTTCTAATTCTTATAATAAAGGGAATTCTGACTGGAAACAAAAATTAACAGACCAATACACAAAAAACTTGGCAAAGAATATCAGACACCCTTCCCCCACACTGCAGATATCTTCAATGGTTTTTCCTTTCAAGTTTAAAATTCCTTGGCCCAGCTTTCAAAAATCCTGAGAATCTGCAAAGCCCATCTAGCTTATTCTATTTCCTATTATATATTATAAATCCTGTGCTCTACTACATCCAACCTCAGTGTCAACCTCAAACACCTTATGTTCATATTTGCTTTTATGTCTTCATTGAGGTTATCCTTAGTGCTATGTATGATACACTTCCTCCTGCATATTTGAATAAATTTTCACAAAATGTTTTCAAATCCACTCGACAGCCTCAGGTAGCCTTTCCTTATTATTCCATGGCATCATCTTCCTCATTGTTCAGAATCTAAAATGTTCTTTATTCTAAACTCAAAGTTCTCAGAGTGTGGTGGTCTGTGAACCCCTCCAGCAATCCCTAAGACTCTTTCAGGGGGTCTGTGACGTCAAAATTATATACATAAAAATTCAAAGACATCATTTGCCCTTTCCACAGTGTGGATGTTTGCACTAATGGTATAGTATATAAGCACTGATGGATAAAACTGCTGATACTTAAAACACACATCAAGGCAGTGACAATACCATGCTTGAAATATTTCTGCTGTATAACAAATTGCCTGAAGGAATAAGCACTGATAATTGTTCTAATTGTGGGATTTTCTCATTAAACACCAATTTTTTTTAACCTTCAAATAATGTCATACAAACTTCAGTTATTTACACTTAGGTATATGGCAGACATTTTTTTTTCTTTCTAAGATCAACAAAATGAGCCTGTCACTTCGAGGAAAACAAATGAATATTTGTTGCCTGTGATAATAGTCAAATTTTCAAGCATAAATTTAAATTTTAGAAAACATATCACTATGAGCCTGTTTCCCAATACTAACATTATCAGACCCATGTTAATATTAACAAGTGTCATGTTTCTGATAGTTAATAATGAAATATGTCACACTTGGAATAGCTGTTAATTCAGTGAACCAGTATTTTCCAAATGTCCAATTCCCAATGTCACAATCATGCATGGGTAGAACATCCAAAGTGCAAGAGAGCCCACCAGATTTTAATTAAAAAGTACAAAGACTTCAACATTAAGTTTTCAGACTGCACACTGCAATGAACCTTTGAAGAACTACTATTTGTCCAGTGTTTGTGTAGTATAAAAGAACATCCACAATTACCTGAAAAGGCTATTAAAATACTCTTCACTTTCCAGCTACATTATTTCTATGAAGCCTGATTTGCTTCAAAAAATAGTGAAGCAGGAAAAGAACCTGTCTTCTATTAAACTTAACTATTGAGATTCACAAAAATGTAAAACAATGCCACTCTTCTCACATTTTATTTATTTTTGAAGTTATTTTGCATTAAAAATGTTAATGTCAAATACATTAATTAATGTTCATTTGTATTTATGTTAACATGCACTTGCATATAATATTTTAAATAAATATTCTTATTTCCTCAGTTTTCATTTCTAGTATGGTAAATAGTGATAGAACCACTAACTTTTATAAATAAAAGCTCTCTGAGGTCATGTTAACTGTTGACAGAACTTATAGCCTACATAAATAAATGCTCTTTCAAAGCCTCAGTAACTTTGTTTTACAAGTATAAAAGGAGTCCAGAGACCAAAAGTTTGTGTACATTTTTATTCTAAACCATATAGGCCTTGGAAATACAGTCTTCCTTTCATATCTTGGCTCTTCAATAAGGCCAACAGGAAAGTTTACCATTTAATCTTTCCCTTTTTTCCTTTTATACATTACTTTTGAGGGGCATACTTCTATAAAATAGTTATGATATGGGATATGTATTTTAATAAAGTACTTACAAGTATTCACTTATACATCATTAATTACTTTTTGGTAATTCTATGCTTAACACATCAGGTACTCAAAAGCATTCAGCTTTTAAATTCCCAAGTTTAAATTTCTTTTTTCTTTTTAAGAATTTATCTCCTTTTGATGCAGGAATATAATATTACATTATTTGGTTAAATATTTTCAAACTATTTGAGTATATGCCAGACTCTTTATGAAAATTAATATATAATCTAATTTTTCTGTTTTCCATTTTCTGTGCCCTCACAGCATTTAAAAATGTTTCAAGTGGTTTTATACATGTCATTTTTATGCTAAGTAGTTAACGTAGATGTGTCTATCCCAATTTTACAAACAAAATTTAACATTCAGAGGACTGAATAGAAACCCCTATAAACCCCTATGCAATACCATTAAGCAGCAGCTCAGAGGAAAACTCACATCTCTATTTCTCATGCAGTATTCTGTTACACCACGTTATACAGATCCTTCTAAAAGAGGAATTTGCCTAGTTTTTTTCTTTATGCAGAAAAAAATACACTGATTTTTAATGTTTCAAATTCTTAAAATTCTTCAAGTGTCCTTACCATACTTAGAAATAATTTATATAAAACAAATTCCTAAGATATACAGATCCTCATAGCCTAGTCTCAATTTTCTGGAATACAGATGACTTCAAAATGTATCTCTAGTTTTTTAGTCAAGACTTCCCTTACCAGTTTTTTACACCAATCAAAATGCAATTATGCAAAAGAGGATGAGAAAAACAGTAACTTTCCCAAGTCTTTCTCCAGCTCCTTGGTCTAAGAGCCTTTCTTTATAAACAGGAAGAAAATATGTCAATTTTTTTCTTGACTTGGACTCTCTTCTGAACTCTCAAACTTTGCACACAATGACAAATACACTTCAGACTGAAATTAACAGCCTTACTTCTATTACAGTATCAGATACTGACAGCTTCTAAGTACCAAAATCTCTAACATTTAAACACAAAATAAGGTAGCTTCATTACAAATCCTGTAAGAGAACTTAAATTTTTTTTTGCTCAAAAATTCTTAAATATTTCATTAGAAATTAGAAATCCATGTACTTTCTTTCTACCACTCAGAAGATGACACACAAAAATGAACATTTACATATTTATTCACTAACTGTTGAGGGCCTGCTATGTTCTAAGCCATGCAAAAACAAATAATCTCCACCCTCATGAAATTTCCATAATCATATAGGTACTAGTAGAAAGTGGAAAAATGCTACATTTACATGTGAACTTTTCTAAATTTTGGAAACATGACCCTACTCCATAAGTTTTCACTGTAATGAAAAAATTGAGCTCGTATACCAACACCATTTGTTTAGTAGTCCTGAAAAAAATTCTTTAAGAGATATGAATGAGATGTTATGAAATAAATTCTTTTATTTATCCCAAAGCTGCTTTAGATTCAAAAAGACTATATTCATCTAATGGTTGCAAAATTTCCTCAGTAAAACATTCTAATTTTGACAGCTGATAATTTAATCACAATGTTAAGAGTGGTGCCAGGGAATCATATTAGTGCAGTACTTTAAACAATGAAAGACAGAGTAAAGGGGTTGAGTCCACCAGGGAAATATCTTACTGATCCTACACTTTTTGGAGTGTGGCAGCAGAAGAGAAAACTAAAAAAATATCCCTGAAATGAACATATGATGGACTGCATAGGATATTTAAAACATGAGATAATAAAAGATGACAAGGTCACAAGGAAAACAATATAAATCAAGAATGTGAAAAAGGAAAATGGGCTAGCAAATATAATTTGGGTTTATACACTACATTTGAGACATGGTAGAATGTCTAAGTGGATAATCCTGAAATCAACTGAAAAAACAGGACTGAGATCCACAGAAAGATCTGTCCTAAAAAGAGATACGGAAATGACTAAAAAACTGAAATTATTTTACGGCAATATTATTTTGTGCCAAAGTAATGTAACAAACTTAATTACCAAAAATACAGAAAATGAGATATTTAATACCTGGTTGAAACATGCTAATTTCAAATAAAACAATGTTCTTACCTACTATTTTCCACAGCCTTCATAGCATATTCAACTTGAAAAACTCTTCCATCAGGAGAGAATGTAGAGGCTGACAGGTCATACTAGGAAGAAAAAGGCAACAATAAGCTTATAACAACGTATCTTTGGCAATAATACCTACGGTTTTTTTTAAGTGGCTTACACATCAGAAATGTGTGTTAAATCACAACAAAGATTTTGTTTTGAAGAGGAAGAGGAAGCATGTCAGAGCAGCAACAGCCATTAAGGGAAAAGTTACATACTTTAGATTTCTGCTACTGAAAAGCAATAGATACAAGTCCTAGGTAAAGTCAGAACCTAGGTAAAGCTCATTAAAAAAAAAAAATTACTGTGGTACGGTAGAAACAGAAATGCAGTGAGAACTTTTTAATTCATAGCTGTGGCACTAATAAACTGAAGAACTTTGGACAAATCATTTATCATTCAAACATTAAATAAACATCTATTAAATGTTAGTCACTTTAAGAAACAACAAAGAATACTCATTCTTTAAGTCCTTCATTTTCAAACCAGACCAGGCACAGACCTAGATGCTGGAGATATAGCAGTAAACCAGAAAAAGGACTGATGAACATAAGACAGGATGAAATGATAGTCTGAGGGACTACCACAGACTACCTGATCAGGGAGAGCCTTGCTGGAGCAGTTATATTTAGCTATTGAGACTGAGGAAGACCTAAATAACAAGTCACTAGCGATTAAGGGATATGGAGGAGGAGCTGTCCTGGCATTTGACATAAAGATCTTAGGGTAGAAATTAGCCTAGCATAATCAAGGAAAAGAAATAAGACCACTGTGTCTTGAGCACTCAAGTGGTAGACGAGTAAAGCTGTATCATTGGCAAGTGAGGGTCAAACTATGTTGAGTCTTCTAGGCTGGAATAGAAGGTTTGTGTTTTATTCTAAGTGCAGTAGGAAGTCATTGGAGTTTAAACAGGGAAAGGGATATGATCCAATACTTCAGAAACATTTATCTGGAAAATGAATTGTAAAAGGAACATGGGGGAAGCAGAGATCAGGTGTCCCAAAGGTGGAGGCTTAGACTAGAGGAAAAGAGATGGAAGGTGGTATCTTTTGACAGTGGTCAAAAACAATTGCCAATGGATTGGCTCTAAGAGTAAAGTAAAAAAGAAATTAAAGGTGCATTTTGTTTTTGTTTTTCATTTCAGAAACCAGAATTGGACCATTCATTGAGCTGAACATTGTAGGAGATGCAAAACAGCAACTGGGAGAAGGAAACTGGAAAGCTCTACTTTGGACATGTAGTTTGAAAGGCCTGTTAAACAATCAAGTGAAGAGTAATGTCAAACAAGTTTTCCTATCTGGAGTTGTTGGGAGAAGTGAAGACAGGAGATAAGCCTTCAGCAGTAGTGCTTCCTGAGTTTGCTGATCTGTTAAACGTGAGATCCTGTACCATTGTAATACCAAAATAGCTCACATAGTTATTATATTATTAAGTATTTGTAAAGGGTTTGTAGAGGGAAACACTTAAAGATAGTATTAATGTAGTTGCAAAGTTAATTTCCTACAACACGCATTTTTGGGGATCTAATCCAAAAACAGTATAACAGCCTTAGCAACTCAGAATGGATTAAACCATTCCAAACATAAGCTGCCTATTAATAAATTCGGAAAACCAGTATTTGGGCTTAATGCAGAGTATCAAAATCCTGCTGAACAGAAGAAATAGATGAAATGGGAACCCATTATTCACTGCCTCTAGTGCACACAAGCAATAAATAGTTCTAAACAAAAAAACTGTATTTTTGATTTGGAGAAATGACATAAAAGAAGCAAAAGACTGAATATACGCAGTACGTTTAACAACGGAAAATTGTAAGCCGAAAGAGTTAATAATTAAGTCCCAACTCCAAAATCAATGGTCAATTAAGTCGTAAGTTAAGTTCCCAGCTAGTCAATTAAATGTTAAGGTACTGATACCTCAGAATGCTGTGAAGTAATTTACACAGGAAAAGTTGGACAAGGAAAGTCGGATTCTTCAGATTTCGCTTTTCATACTATTTTTCTTAATTAGGTCTGCTCGGATAGGGTTTCTAGAGTGAGGGGTCTGTCAATACACTTAAAGGGAAGAAGGAGAAGGCCCCATGAGTCAGCAGCAGCCGAGGAACCGCAAAGGCGGTCCACGGCGAGCTGCGTCCCGGGCCTTGGGAATCTCAGGCCGCCTCGCCTCAGGGGCTCTCAAGATGCTATCTACAGCCAAAACCATCGCACACTACTTCCACTTTCGGTTTCCCTAAGCAGCTAAAGAAAGTGACTCAGCAATGAAAGCTGCTCCAAGTTTTACCGCTGCGCCGACAGGCCCGCTACACCTGTGCTGAAAAGCTTCAGGGCCACCGTCACCACAATCGCAGGCCCAGAAATTCTCACAGGAAAGACCGCTGGTCACAACCGGCCGAAGGCAGGCCCAGCGCACCCCAAGTCAGCGCACCGCAGGCGGGCTGTCCCAGTTCCCTTCAGCTAATCCTCCGGCTAGACCACTGCACCGACAGACGACGAACTCACCCCGGTGCCGATAGAACTCATGGCGCAAAAATCAGCGGGATTCGTAAGGTTGCCAGGCCTAAAGCACACCCCCTACCCAGCAGCACGCACACTAGTAACGGGCTCTTTCATTGGCTGCTCTTGTTACCAATAGCCTTCTTCTCTGCAGCTCGTTCTTCAGTCTTCAGCCCGCGGAACAGAGGATTGTGGGAAAAGGCTGGGCTTGGGCGTGAAAGGAGCGTGGAGAGCGAGGCGCCTGTGCGGAAGCAACGGGGGTGGACGAAAGGGAACCGGGCGTCGCTTCCACGATTGCGGTTCTCAGTGTCGCTGACTCCCGTCGAGTCACCAAATTAAGGAACTGTTCCATTTCTAAATTTTGAATAGATAGCTCTCCCACGTGTTTTAAAATAAAAGTATAAAGACCCTCTTTAAAATGGAAGGTGCTATCTATAAAATCAAGTTATTTGAAGATTATGGAGATTGCTGGTTTAGTATGCCTCTGTATGCTTTTATTGTTTGTTGTGTTACAAGTTCTAGTTTTCCGGTCTTTCACTAAGAAAGATGTTTGTACTTAAGACATACGTACTCTGCCTTTTATGAAATTGCTTTAAATGTTGAAACTATATGGATTAAGCTAATAATTTGCTTACATACCTTTCTTATTAGCCCTGTAATTTAACAAAGCTGTTAGCATTTTGAAAGCATGTGAACTTACATTCAACCACACATAAAAACTGAGAATTCATTCATCAACAATTTATCGAGTATCTTCTGTGTGCAAGGCATTGCCCTAAGGTCCAGGAGCCACAACAGTGAGCAAAACAGATAAAGGTCCCTGTCTAGGTATCACCTTCAAGAGCAGGTCGGTAGTTTATCGAAGCATTAGTACCCTTTGTGTGAGGCTAACCCCGTTTAGGAGAATTAAGGGTTAAGACTGATTCAAGATACTTACCTCTAATATGTCCCAAGTTGTCGTTAAACACTGCTGATAAAACGGTGAGTGACTTTCTGAATGGGTGAGGTTTAAACTGGAATTTGGGATTGTTACAGGAATATAAACTTGGCTTGTAGGAACCGTCAGTTCGGTGTGGTTTGTCATAGTGATTAAGTGGGGGAGGGTGACAGGAAGTGAAATCAGAGAGGTGGACATGGGGTCCAGATCTTTACAGTGGTTTGGACTTTGATTGTAAATGAAAGGTCATCAGTATTTTTTTTTTAACTGCTAAATAGTTCAGGGTGTATTTCCCTAAAGTAAACATTACATATCCACCATACGATTTCTGAAAATCAGAAAACAGTATTATTTTCTAATCTACAGACTTTATTTAGTTTTTGGCAATTCTGTCAATAATGCCCTTCATAGCAAAAGAAAATCCAAGATATATTTGCATTCATTTGTCATGACTAGCCTCGTTTAGTCTGGAAAATAGTTGCTTAATATTTCTTTAGGCATTAACATTTTTGAAGAATGTATTTTGTAGGATAGTCTTCAATTTAGGTTTGTATAATTTTTTTCGTGGTTAGGTGATGCATTTTTGGCAAGAATGCCACAAAAGTAACCTTGTATTTATATTAGAGCATTATAGTAGAATAGGAGGCACATAATGCCAGTTTGTTCCAATACTGAATGGTGTTAATTTCCATCACTTGCTTAAGATTTCTCCAGTTTGAAGTGTCTGTTTTTCCTTTTGTAATTAATAATATCCTATGAGAAAATACATTGAGACTATGTAAATATCCTGCTACTCCTCAACATTTCATCCACTAATTATAATATCTGATGATTCTTATTTGAATCCATTATTATAATGGTTGCCAAATGTCGATTTTATAATTCCATCATTCCTTCCACATTTATTTTTGGCTTTCTACTAAAGGTCATCAGTAGTTTTTTAATCAGAATTATATGATCTAAGTTATTAAACGATCTCTCTTGCTTATATGTGAAGACTGATAGATCAGAGTAAGAATAAAAGCATGGAGAATGGCAGGAAAGCTATTCTAGTCCTGTAAGCAAGCAGTAATGGAGAGTGATTTGGAGGAGTGTGGTGGCAGTGGCGGTGGAAATGTATGGATGGATTTCAAATATGTAAGGCTTGCTGAAAAACTGGAAATAGAACAAAAGGGAGGAAGAATTTCAGTTGCTTCCTGCTAATGAGGTATTACAATTAATGGTTAGTTTCTATTCTTAAACAAATGGATACATAAAGGATTTGAATTTACTTGGAAGACTAGCCATTTAATTTGTTTGTTAAAGTATTCTATTGAATTTTTTCATGAGAGGATCCTGATTTAGAACAGAGTAGGCCAAAAAGTTGCTGGAGTTTATAAAAAGTCATAGTTATAGGAGGGTTCACCTTGAAGGTAAGTTACAAGTACTTTAAACTTGTTTAGTGTTCTAGTTACACTTCTAATTAACTTTACTACTTGTGTGTGATAAACACTGTATGAGTGCCTAATGCCTTCCAGATATTCATGAATAATTAAGAATTTGGAACTCTTTCTGAACTATCAGATGAACTGCCTATTTCGGGTCTTGATTATTGATTTATTGATTTATCCTGTATTTGAAAGAATGGTTTGAATTGTGGTCTCAGGTTCTTGATTATTTGCCTGATTGATTAGAAAACTGAAAAGGTGTGGGTATGGATTTGTTTGTTTAAATTACTCCGAATTATTTTTGGAAGTAGTTGCCTATAAAATCATCTTTCTTATAGGTTGACAAGCGTTTTGAAGTTATGAATCTGTTTTATTCTATTAGAATATTTAACAGTGCTTTGCACATGGTAGGTACTTTAAAAATGTGTTGAAAATGCAAATAAACACACCCATTTCCTAGTTACTGTCCGTCAAGTTAGAAAATAAAAATAAATAAACCAGAGTTTGCAATTGAAAGAAAATGTTAGTGAATAATTGTATTAGTATTTTAAGTTTGAAATTTTTAAATATTCTCTTAAGTCCTTGCTCTGCTTTGAGAATTCTAAACATATACTATTATTTTATGCCATATCTTACTATTTTTTAAAATTAAGTAGCTCAGGAAATGAGAATGACCAATGTGTTTAACTTCTAAACACTGTATTTTAGGGATAGCCTCCTAAGAATTCTTTGTTTTTCTCTGGTTTATAATTAGGCTTTTGCTTACAGTTCTGACCAACAGGATAGATACCAACCACAGCACAGAAATACGCGGAGTTCCTTATCTAGAGAAGTTCACTAATATCTCAGAACAGTTAAATTTCCATAGGAAATTATTCCATTGTGTCATAATTTGATCAAAATCCGTTCTTCTCCTTCCTCGTAGAATTAAAATTATAAGGTTCAGTGACTCTGTCATCCTTTCCTCCTAGCTTCTATCATTTGTGTTGGATGGGGATATCCTCTGAGGGGGCCTATCAATTGTCAGGTAGTTACCTGGAGGAGGCCTTATTTTACTGGAAAGAGAATCCCCTTCCTCAATTTAACTTACCTTGGTTAGACTCCTATTAAAAGAAAATAGCTAAGCTCTGCCGTTCTTCAGTTTAACTTATTTCTTAAACGTTGTTCTTTGTTTTTTTTTAATGCTGCCTGCTTCCAAAATTGCAGGAATTCAGTAAGCTATTTGATAGAAGGGGTATAGACTTGAGACTTGTTTAGGTACAGAAGATAACATATTGGGTAGTAAATATTTTTAAACACTTTAGAAAAAAAGATTCAGTGACACTGCTTGTGTAAGTTTTCAGTGATCTTGGGATACACACACAATGAAAATTATGAATTCTAAGAACAATTAAATGTTTTAAAGAATTCTTTAAAATAATTTGAAAGTGTGTATTTCATACTACGATAAATTACTTTGTGAGAATGTGCAGACTGAGTATACGTAAACAGTCACCAAGGGTGGGAAAAAAAAGGCCAGTTCTCAAGCGCCCGGCTAGCTCAGTCGGTAGAGCATGGGACTCTTAATCCCAGGGTCGTGGGTTCGAGCCCCACGTTGGGCGGAGTGTGCATTTTGGAACTTGAAGAACCTCATTTTCCTTAAAACGTTTTTAAGGTGTCCTGGAGGAGTTGTAACTAAGGTGGATTCTTTACACCAAATTAAATACTTTCAGAATTAACCAAATCTCTGGAAAAAAAGACCTTTGCAAACGAAACAAGTATCAAACTGCGCCTGCGCTCTTAGGAATCTTTGTTCCTAGTCCTTCCCGTGATCCCTCCCCAACCTAATCAAAGCACCGGGAAAACTGAAAGACCGTTGTTTACAGTTTAGACTGGTTTTCTGTTACTAAGTATACTTGCGAAGTTGCTAGCAGAGGACAAATTTTGCTTTTATTAGAACAAAATTATGAACTCCAATTTTGGCAGCTTTTCTAAAACTTAAGAGATCCTATGTAAAAGTATTTGGGGGAGCGGAGGACTTCGAAGAAAATGCCTTTGCTTATTTTACTTTTTCTTTATTTTGTCAATACAGGGCCTGTCCCGGGCGGGAGAGAGTATTTCCTGGAGAAATATATAGTGAGAAATGTTTCTTTTTGTTATCTATACAACCAGTGCACACATCAAGTTTTTGTCCATTGTTCTTGGGACTACACTTGGGATCTATCCATACAATTGGGCTGGATATTAGGAACTTAATATTTTGGTAAAGGTGAGACTCTGAGGCAAAAGCGCAAAAGAACTGAGATGTGCAATTCCGGATGGGGAATTAGGAATTTGCAGGAGGCAAGATTCCCGCCTCCCTTCGTCTTCACTGAAAAATTTGAAGTCATGAGAAAGAACTTCCACTTGCATCCGCTGCACCACATCCAGGCTTGTTTCCGGATCTCACTCACCCGACAAGTAGGCAAAGATCCACGCTCCTACCTCTAGCCAACCTTACCCTAAAGCGCTGGTTCCTATGCTTCCACGTGTTATCCACCAGCTTGCTTTCTACTAAATGATCAATTTCTCTCTCCTTGATTCTTCCCTTCAACATACAATCACGCTGTTATTTCTCTACCTTAAAACAAAAACTTTGACCTAGTTTCCCTGAAGACTACCATTCTGTTTCTCTGTTCCCCCTTGGAGCAAGTCACCCATCCCCGCCCCCAGTCTGCTGTGCTCACTATTCCTCTCCATCAGTCTCTTAACCCTGACAATGCCCTTACAGCCAAAGACCAACAAACCAAACCAA